ATTGACGCTTTTGAACTATGGTGTTGGAGAAGACTCTTGAGAGTCCCTTGGACTGCAAGGAGATCCAACCAGTCCATCCTAAAGGAGATCAGTCCTGGGTGTTCATTGGAAGGACTGATGTTGAAGCTGAAACTCCAATACTTTGGCCACCTGATGCGAAGAGTTGACTCATTGGAAAAGACCCTGATGCTGGGAGGGATTGGGGGCAGGAGGAGAAGGGGACAACAGAGGATGAGATGGCTGGATGGCATCACTGACTCAATGGACATGAGTTTGAGTGAGCTCCAGGAGTTGGTGATGGACAGGGAAGCCTGGCATGCTGCAATTCATGGGGTCACAAAGAGTCGGACACAACTGAAAGACTAAACTGAACTGAATGTATAGCATAGGGAACTATATTCAACATCTTATAACAATCTACAATGGAAAGAATCTGAAAAATAATAATATGTATATATGTATAACTGAATCATTTTGCTATATACCAGAAACTAACATTATAAATCAACTATGTCAATAAAAAATAAAACTTAATGACAAATCCATTACATGTTAACATAAATACCATATTTTTTACAAAGAAAAAATTTCCCCTAAACAATGATTTAACGAAGAGTTACCTTGGTTTTTATTTTGGCAAATCTCTTTAACAGCTGGTTTGATAGAAGAGTCAGATTTTCTTTTTTTTTTTTTTTCATTTATTTTTATTAGTTGGAGGCTAATTACTTTACATCATTGCAGTGGGTTTTGTCATACATTGAAATGAATTAGCCATGGATTTACATGTATTCCCCATCCCGGTCCCCCCTCCCACCTCCCTCTCCACCCGATCCCTCTGGGTCTTCCCAGTGCACCAGGCCCGAGCACTTGTCTCATGCACCCAACCTGGGCTGGTGATCTGTTTCACCCTAGATAATATACGTGTTTCGATGCTGTTCAGAAGAGTCAGATTTTCATACCTTGCTTCTGCATTCAATCTGGCATGTAATCACATGTCACCTGGCCTCTGGAAAATGCAATTGTATACTTGTGAGAGAATCAGACCAAAACGTTATCTTAGTGTTTCAAGACAGCTCTGACTGGGTGCATATTCTGAAAGGGTCTCAGGGACTGAGAATCACAGAATTAGAGCATTTCTCCTCTCTGCTCAGGTCACAGCTTCCTGAATTGCACCTCCTTCTAAATCACACTTGGCACATCTTGTGGTTAATTATTCTCCATGCACACTTATTCTAGCAGTTTTGACACACAGCTGTGCCAGTTCTGCCAGGATATTATTATTGATGACTGTTTTCCCAGTTAAGTTCATGATGGCACCTAGGTGAGAAGCTACCAGTGGAAAGGCCCAGGCCTCAGGGAAAAAACTTCCTCAAAAACATTGCTTCAGTTTTTCCATTTTGCTCCCGTAGCTTAAGACTTCCTGAAGGACACACTGACATTTCTCTTCATTTCTTAAATTAAGAACTGTAACCTCAAATTTTCCTTGTGTATATTTAACAGTCAAGTATTCCACTTCCTTTAAAATCCTATTTTTGACTTGGTGGAAAAAACATACTTTTGGGGGTTGAGAAAATCCAAATGTTTTTGGTTTCAAGCATATTTTTAAAAATGACAATGGAATGACAATGGAAGAGCTTAAAGGTCATCCTCTGGTTTGAGGACGGATCCCATTTTCTGGTGACTGTGACCTGAGCTGACTTCATTCAATAGATCCATTCCTGAAATACTATGCAGACTCCAGGCCTCAGGAAATTAAGTTCATGTGTTAACTTACAAATGCTGTGTGCTGACATAATTCTTGTTAGTTGAAATAACTTTTCTGTTGACTATGCACTTAGAAATACATTATCGAAATTTGGGGTTGACTTTCAGCTCCCATAGGTACTTATAATTTTGCTTTTAATTCCTCCTCCTCCCTCTGCCCCAGGGAGTGTTGGATGGCAAAGGACTGTCACTCAAGAGCAACCCTTCCTTAAGTTTCAACCTATATATCCCCTGACGTTGGTTTCTCTCTTCACTAGGAAAGAACTGCAGACTCTATCCATGATGCTCATAACTCGGGAATCCAAACATACTCCCATTGATATAACCTTAAATTTTCCTAAGAAGGGATTAAAAAAAAAAAAAAGACACAGAAAGCTTTGTAATTAACTACCAACGCTTTTGGTAGAAATTGTACTTTTCTTTTTCCCTTCCAGTTCCATTCTCTGTGCCCCAAGAAACTCACCTTTATGGGCTACATCATCCAGGTTCCCTTGACCTTGGGCTGTAGGTTCAAACCAGGAGCAATGGGAGGCACCAACAGAGGTCAGGGTGTGGGGAGAGAATGTCTGTATACCCCCCACCTGCTTTGGGCCTGGGGTGTAAGAGCTTGCCTTACCGCTAGTCCCTGGGCTCTTCAGCAGCTCTTGGCCCCCTTAACCCTGGCAGTGCGTGTGTTAAGTCGCTTCAGTTGTGTCTGACTCTGTGTGACCCCACGGACTGTAGCCCCCCAGGCTCTTCTGTGCATGGGACTCTCCAGGCAAGAACAGTGGAGTGGGCTGCCATGTCCTCCTCCAGCGGATCTTCCCGACCCAGGGATTGAGCCCAGTCTCTTATGTCTCCTGCGCTGGCAGGCAGGCTCTTTATCATTAGCGTCACCTGGGAAGCCCCTTAAGCCTGACCCACGCCTCTGCAAATCATTTCTTCATTAATGGCTTCCCTGGTGGCTGCGTGGTAAAGAATCCGCCTGCCAGTGCACGAGACGTGGGTTTGACGGACAGTGGGGTCTGATGGGCCACAGTCCACGGGGCCACTTCCTGACTAAACAACAAACCACAGCTAAATCCTTAGACTGGCCTTCCTGCCAGGCTCTAAAGACACAGTAAAATTCTATTCCAAACAGATATCACGCAAACCTTCAGGTTTATTAATAGAGGTTATACACATTTTTTAAAAAGAACATAAAAACAGTGATGTAATATTTTATAAGTGCATACTGATAATACAGTAATGGGTCTTATTAAGTTAGATGCATTTCAATATAAACAGAATGAATAAACAGTGACAGTATATCTTCACTAAATTAGATAAAATGAATACAGGAACTAATAAAAACAATGTTAACTTTTACTTACTTTACAATACATATTTTTATGTAAATTATTCAATGGAATTTGGAAACAGTTTTTTTAAATAGGTAAGCATTTGTCTTACAGTTTTCTATTCTTTTTGTTTGTTTAAAATGCCAACATTTTTTCATAAGGAAAAAAGATATATATCAACATTGTTTTTAATTATTTTGCTAAATACACGAGAATATTCTGTACTTGATACTCATCATAGGGTTAAAAAATGGCTTTTAAAGCCATTTCATTAACTCTTAACAAAAGTGAATGGAAAAAATGGAGACTATTTGCCTAGATTTCAAAGTCATTTCCATTTCTTCTGCCATTTCTGACATAATTAATGCTTTTTTAAAAATCTGATTTGAGTATGTACTGAACAAAACATTTGTAAATAGTGTCTAATTAAGTCAGACTGAAGGACTCACTTTTTTTTTTTGAAGGACTTACTTTATCCTTAGTTGATGTTTTAGTTTATTTTTTCAATCTCTTTTATGTATAATTTTGCTTTCATGTTGATACATAGACTGATGATTATATTATATACAGAATTTATAATTATCTTGCTTGAATAACACTGTAATAAAAATTTTCATATTCTGTTACTGAAGGACCTATTTTTAAAAACATGCTTCTTGTAATATATTATGTTTTCCTCTCAAGTTATAACCACAGGAAGCAGTAAACCAAATGTTCAAAGTTCTTCACCCGCCAGGCTTGATTATGTGGAACTTGCTTGGTGACATCTGGCTAAAAGCACTTCTTTACATACTGATGCATTTCTTTAACACTTGTCACACTCCACGTGTCGGTCCACTTTGTTATTCTCGAGAGTAGGTTTCCGTCTGACTCAACTGTGTTTGCCCAACACCCATGCATGCCTAGAGCACACGATGACTGTCCATGTTTGCTATATAGCTGGTTCCAGCTGACAGTGATCCTTGCAGCCTAACTGCCGAAAGCAAACATGCCTTCTTTCTCCATTCTTACAGAGGCAGAGAAGTCTTTTACATTCATTGTCTCTTGGGATGGCACATCCTACTCCACCAACTTCTCATAAACATGATAAGCTCACGGCCAATCCTTGAGGGAATCCCAGCAGAAGACAGCAAACACGTGGCCCGGTCTTGTGTCTACTGCCTGGAGCCCTTCATCTGGGGAACGGGGGCAGGGCGCTTTGAAAGCCAACCTCAGGTCACTGGTGGGACTTCTGTTCATTCTCAGTTCACACATGTGGCGTGTAAAGCAGCAAAAATGCTACCTGCATCATTTGTTTTCATCCACTTTAATAATTTCAAGAATCCAAACTTTGATCTAGTTAACAAGAAAAACAAAAGAACTTTCTCTACACACAGCTAGTACTAAGTCTCATCCCTCAACAATTTAAACATTGCTGTTAAACAATTTAAAAATGCATTTATTTGCAAAAGCTGTGCAAGTCCAAACTGTAGAATCCCTCACTACTGATGGGCTTCCTCAGATGTTCCGACCTAAACTTTGCATGCTAAATCAGAAAATCAGAGTTTATTTCCATAGTCTCTGGTGAAAAAAGAGAGGGTTTCAAAGTGCCTATTCTATACTGTACTGCAAATGATATAAGTACGTGTATAAATTCACACTATACATCTATAATAAGTCATGTAAATATATGAAAACAGAGACATCTAGTTCTTGTGGTAACACTGGCAATACTCTCTTGGAATAATGTTTTCTATTCCTGTTACTTTTGTCTGTAACTAACAAATATACAAGCTTTCATAGGGAGACATGTAAATCACACGTTTGTTGTTTTGGATGGTAAAGGAAATACTTTTTTTTTTGTCAGGGATGAAGTCGAATCCTCAGGTGATTTGCTTTTTTAACATTTTCCTTTTAACTCACTGTCGGTCCCTCTTCCTAAGTTAAGAGCTTTTTGTACAGGCTGCTACTCAGGTTAGTGGAGCAGGTGTCCAGTTTACTTGGCATCAGCTGCCCGCTGCTGTTACAGCTGCTGGGATCTGCACTTTCTTTGCAGCGTAAGATCGCCGAGAGGTGCCTCTGGCACTCGGAGGAAGCATAGTAGTATATCAAGGGGTCGATGCAACAGCTTATGCTGCTGACACAGACGCACAGGAGGTAGGCAAAGTAGGCAGCCTCTGTCACGGAATCGGGGGAAAGGAAGGCGTAGTGGAGAAGCAGAAGGACGTTTGTAGGTCCAAAGCAAAGGATGAAGACGCAGAAGACAGCCGCGGACAGGAGCAGAGCCCGGGACTTCTTGTTCTGGTTGGCAACCGTGGAAGAGCTGAGGCATCGGATGATGGACACGTAGCAGACTGTGGCAAGGCCCAGGGGCACGAAGAAGAAGACGGCGGCGAAGGCGGAGAAGTAGTAGGAGTAGTAGCCCTCCAGCTGGGTCTGGCTGAGCACGTCGTGACAGGTGGTGATGTTGAGCCCCGGCACGCGGGCGGCCTGCTCCTGCAGGAGCAGGGGCAGCACGCCCGCGATGGCCGCGGCCCAGACGGCCAGGCAGATGAGGGAGGCGCGCCCCAGGGTCCGCCAGGAGAGCGCCTGGATGGGGTACACCACGGCCAGGAAGCGGTCGACGCTGATGGCCGTCATGAGCATGATGGAGGCGTACATGTTCCCGTAGAAGGCCGCCGTGACGAAGCGGCACAGGGCCGGCCCGAACCGCCAGTCGCTCCCGGAGAAGTAGTAGCTGATCTTGAACGGAAGCACGCACGCGAAGAGCACGTCTGCCACGGCCAGGTGCAGCATGTATACCACGGCCGGCTTCTTGACCTTCATCTTCAGGACGAACACCAGCGCGGCCACGATGTTCAGGGGGAGGCTGACGAGGAACACGCCCGTGTAGACCGAGGGGACAAAGACGGTCAGCCAGGCGCTGGTCAGATATCCCGAGGCGGCACTGGAGATAAACGGAAGGGATGGCTTCTGAGGAGGGCTGCTTCTGTTGCCTGAGCTTAATCTCTCTTCTGCGAATTCACCTTCACTGGAGTCCCCGTCATCTGGCAGTGGGATGGGTTCATACCCGTCATCGTGATTCCTCAGAAAGAAAGACCGGGGACCCAGAGTACCGTTTGTTGCTTCTGACTCTGAAAAGCAAAACATTCTTAAATTAATTAAAAAGGCAAATGAGGACAAAGGGGAGAGTACACCTGACTTTTGCTTTTGGCTTTCCCCCTGGGAGAGTCGGTGGGAAAGAGCAGGTGACACTCAAGTGGATGACAGACGTTATCTGTGTGTGCGCGCTCCATTGCATCTGGCTCTGTGCAGCCCCACGGGCTCTAGCCCGCCAGGCTCCCCTGTCCTTGGGGACTTCCCAGGCAAGAATAATGGAATGGGTTGCCATTTCCTTCTCTGGGGGATCTTCCTGACCCAGGGATCGAACCTGAGTCTCCTGCACGGGCGGGTGGCTTCATTACCACTGAGCCACCAGGGAAGCCCAGACTTCACCAGGGAATTAGCTAACTCAAGATAATGTACCATATTTTGTTCGGCACAGGCAAGTGCTTTTCAAGCTCTGCTCCTCGGAGAGATGGGGTGAACCACAGGCTTTCAGAGATCTCTCCTGCAGGTATCAGGACAGGCTGAGTACAGGCTGATGTGAAAGGAAAAAGCCGTGACTTCTTTTTTACGCAAGTCACTGTCTATATAAACAAATCACTCCAGGCTCTGTGACTTCTCTTTCCTCCATAGGCCCGCAGGTATACTTTTTTCCCCTCCATTTGGTTTGTGGCCACCCCTTGAGATCCATTCCCCCTCATGGAAAAATCAACACAGAAAGTTGAGGGAACATCTTAAAGCTTATGGAACTAGAGGCGACTTGGAGCAAGATTGCTGCGGCTGCTGCTGCTGCTAAGTCGCTCCAGTCGTGTCCAACTCTGGGCGACCCCATAGATGGCAGTCCACCAGGCTTCCCCGTCCCTGGGCTTCTCCAGGCAAGAACACTGGAGTGGGTTGCCATTTCCTTCTCCAGTGAAAGTGAAGTCGCTCAGTTGTGGCTGACTCTTAGCGACCCCATGGACTACAGCCCACCAGGCTCCTCTGTCCATGGGATTTTCCAGGCAAGAGTATTGGAGTGGGGTGCCATTGCCTGCTCAGTGAGCAAGACTGAGGGAACCCAATTTCCATGACAGTTATCCAGGTGATAGAAGCTCTCCTTTACTAGCTTCGGCTTGCTTACACAGTAGAATGTCCCAAATCTCTCATCTTTGGGTCCAAGCCGCAGTCCCTCAGGTTGCTGTCTAATAAAACCGCAAGGCACCCACCACTTGAGTCATCTTCCCTCTCTCCCTCCTCAGTAGGTCAGTGGAGCAGCACCAGTTCTAGGTCAGTGCCTCCCTCAGCTCAGTCCCAAAATGCCACGTGCATCCAGGCAGATGCCAGGCCAGCAGGCTCTTTTGAATGTCAACCAGAAACCACCATAAAGGCTCTGCTGCAAACATCCTTCCTTTATCCACCAAAACATCCACCAAAACATCCAGTGGAAAGTTCATCACAGAAATGCAGCATTTAGCTGCTGGAACTCAACCAGCTTTTGCTTCCCGGGAGTTGCACTGTCATTCTATCACTGAGACTTGGGCAGAGAGCTTTTGTTGGGCTTTAGGGAGCTGAAGAGTGGGGACAGAAACCACAGGGGGAAAAGGATGAGGCTTCTATCCCTGGGGGCGATTACCACAAAGGCTGGACACGCATGTCACTCAGAAGTGAGGTCAGGGGAATGAGAAATTCCCCTGGCTGGAAATTAGATAAGTACAGTGAATTTTCCTGCTTTCAGTTTTATTTTTCAGTAGTGGAACCTTCCTGCAAACAAATACTTACACAGAAAAGCATGATGCAGTAAAAGAGAAAGTGCCGCTTCCGGAAGGTCCTTACCAGACCCAACCATCCCCTAGACAAAAATTACAGACGCTGGATTCCTTTCCTCCCCCAAATCAATGACCTGAGATTATGTAGGTTCACCATCGTGTTGGGGAGGGGAGGGATGGGTCTTGAAAGAAAAGATGGCAACTGGTGGGTTTCTGGCTTTCAGTGGCTTTTAGCTTTAGAGGAGGCCAAAGCCAGTGCCGTGAAAGACGGCTGAAACTCAAATAGAAAACTCACAGCCTCTGTGGCCTGGAGAACTAGAGGACAGTGTTCAGGGCGACCACAGTCATTGGAAACTAGGAAAGAATCCCAGAAAAGAGCAAGTTGGAGGGGGAAGGAGAGCCGCAGATTCCAGTGTAACTTCTGCCCCAGGTCTGGGGCACACTCAGGGGGGATGTGAAGCTGCTCTGCTAGACTTAAAAGAATGCAAGTGCAGTTTGAGCTTTTTTGCTCAAGAGGAAACGTTTGCAGTTTGAGTTCAACCAAATTAACTGCCTGCTCAAGCAAAAACAGCAACACTCAGTTAGAGAAATAAGACAAAATCTTGAATGTTTACAGCAGCACAATGTTCACCATACAATTAAAAATCATTCGCTATAAAGAGAATCGGGAAGGTGTGACCCAGTCTCAAGAGAAAAGGACAATCAATGGAAACCAATCCCAAGATGGCTCGGATGTTAGAACTAGCAGATAAGGATTTTAAAGGGTGTGCTACAACTATGCTCAATGAGGGAAGAGAAAGATTTCATTGAAATGAATGAAGAAATAGAAAATAGCAATGAAACCAATCAATGGAACTTCGAGAACTACAAAATAAAACACAATAAATTGGCATCTATTTCCAAAATGAAGAGCAAACTTAGAATGACACCAACTGATACACAGTAGAACAGGGCCTGGTACCAAAAGCCTGAGGTCAGATCATCTCAGCAAGAGCACGAATGGGCCCCCTGAGGATAAAGAATTGATCTGTCCCATGGGAAGAACAAAAATCTGCAGTGATGAGCCTGAGTGTACATAGATATCGAGGTTGTTCCCCAAGGGTGGGAAATAGTTCCTATTTAATCTCCAAGTCTCTCTAGTACCCTGCCCCACAGGTAGCAGGTGTGGTCCTTAAATTGGCTTTTAATGATAGATTTGCAATCTAATGCTGGCTGCACCCTGATGGTTTAGCGGTAAAGAAGTCACCTGCAATACAGATGACGCAGGTTTGGTCCCGGAGTCAGAAAGATCTCCTGGAGTAAACAGCAACCCACTCCAGTATTCCTGCCTGGGAAACCCCACGGACAGAGGGGCCTGGAGGGCTACAGTCCATGAGGTTGCAAAGAATCGGACACGACTGAGTGACTGAACGACAAACAACAACTGGCTCTACCAGGAGTCACTTAACCTCCTCTGAACTCAGTCTCAGGATCGTTGAAACGGGAAGATTCAACACCTGTCTGGCCTACAAATCTGGCAGTTTGGAGCATCCATCACACATAAAAAAAGGATATATGTTCACTTTGTAAACTTCAAAAATTAACCAGTGTAAGAAATTATTATCCTTCCCCATCACTTCAGTGTGGTTTGTTTTTTGCTCTCAACTGTTTTGAGAGCAAAAAAAAGCAAAAAAATTAAAATGGAATCTGTGTTCCTCTTCCCTCCCTCAACATACAACCGTGTTTAGTTTTTCAATGTGATAAGAGACATGAAGAGGCTGTAAGGTACAGAGCCCCAGTACTCAGAGCTGTAAATCAAATTTCAAATTCACAACCTCTTCCTCAAGGATCACCTCCCTCCTCTTGCGATGCATCTTATTCGCTCAGTGTATCTTGATCCGGTCACGTGGGAACCAGGCCCTGGTACAACAGCCCCTGTGGGAAGTGAGGCTACCCTCGAAGTCATGGATGTGTGGGAGGTGGAAGAAAAGAAATGAAAGAGTTCTGGGACTTTAAGACCACAAAGATATGTGTCCTTAAAAATGCCGACCCACAGGAACCTTAAAAGAACATGACTTTCTGCTGCAGAAAGCCCTCTGGGGGCCTGGCCAGAATGAGGACTCGTCATGTCATGTATAGAGGGGAGAAGAGCACATGCGTGCATGTGTGCAAGCCACGTAAGCGTCCAGATGTGACCTAGAGGGGTGACACCTGGAAAACTACTGAGCACGCACAACTCAACTCCTAGATGCTGTCACTTGGCCTGAAAATAAAAACTGTCATTAATTAGGCTTTGCTCTGTAGCTAGTCTTGGTTGGCCAAAAATTTCGTTTGCCTTTTTCTATAATAACGCATGGAAAAACCCGAATGAACTTTATGGCCAACCCAACACTTTGGGAATCAGTATTTGTTTTCAAAAATTTCTTCCCTGGCTTGGCCTTCTTCGGCAGTATGGTGTTGATGACAGAAACTTTATACCCACTCGAACATGACATTTTTATAGGCTGGAGCCCAGGAAGAATGCATAATCCCTTGATTAGCTATCATTGCCTAAGGTGTCACCTTTTCTTGCCACCACAGGTTTTGATATTTTGGCCTTTATGGGATTACAGGATGTCAGCAAATTTTGTTTATTTAACTATATACCAGCATTAAAGAGAGAACAAAGCCAATTCCAGGTGATTAGATAAATCCAACTAGCTTGTGCCCCTTGGGCTGAAATTTGAGTTTGGGAATCTTGCTTTTCCTTTAGTCCTAGGTCAAGGAGAAAGTGCCTGTCAGTGGACCAAAAACTCCTGTAATCATCTGTGTTTTTATTGGTAAGGTATGGCTTAAAAAAAAAACAAAATAGGACAGGTACTAAAATTGATCCTCGTATTTGTTGCAAAAGTTTCACTTAACTTAGGTTTCTTGAAATGGCTCTAGAGTAATTTTGATTGTTTAACATAGAATATTGCTAATGAGTTTAAATGTGGACTCTCTAACTCTGGAGACTTTTAGAAATCGTAAGTCAGGAACGGCCGCTTTTTCTTTGACAAGATGTGGCCTAGAAGCAAAGTGGTACCCAGATGTTCTCTCAAGGTCCCTCATGATCCTGGGATTTATACCATGTCAGCCTTCAAGAATATGCCAGCTTCAGTTCTGACTCAGAGCTCTGGCCTAGAGGGCTCACCCTTGGTGGGTTAAGAAACCAGAAATCCCAGGGCCTTGCCTACATTCACAGAGGATAGCTGTACCCTGCACTTCTCCACCAGTGATTCGACACTACAGGCTAAAGAGAAATAAAGGAAGGGGTGATGGAAGAA